CAATTTTATTCTCCTTATACTATAACTTTATTTACAAAATATTATGAATGTATTCTCTTAATATTTTGACTTTATTCTAATGATATTATGACTTTATTCTCTTAATATTTTGACTTTATTCTCATAATATTATGACTTTATTCTAGTGTTATTATGACTTTATTCTCATAATATTATGACTTTATTCTAGTGCTATTATGTCTTTATTCTTGTGATATTATGACTTCATTCTCGTAATTTTATGACATTTTTCTCGTAATGTAATTTTTATGTAATTGTTTTTTTCTTAGCATGGCCCTAATACTCCAATGTAATTTTCTGCTTTATTACACAAACATTTTATTCCCTGATCTTTTGTGTAAATTCACTTCTAATTTTGAATTATCTTCAACTTAAGTGGTTTACAAAATTATTTATTTCAATAAAGGGACCATACATTAAGAATATATTTTTATTGTATCACTAGCTCATGAGTTCTTGTGAAATTTCATAAACCCAGCCATTCTCCACCTCCTCAATTGAGTGGACAAATATTCCTGTTGAGTGTTGATGTCCATATTAGGGCAGAAATCAAGAGTCTGGGGTTAAAACGTGTCCATGCACACAGGAGAGGAGACAGTTTGACGGCTTTTCATCCTTTATGGTGGTGAAGCTGGTCAACTCACACGCACGCACGCGCACGCACGCACGCACACACACACACACACACACACACACACACAGATAAAGGAGGATCCCATCAGAGCAGAGCAGCACAGGCGCACTTCTTCTTTAACTTGTCCCTCTCTCCTCCTCCCTCTCTCAGCATCAGCAGGAACCGGCGCGTCAGGCTCCATCCAGACTCCGCAGCCCCCCTCACTCTGCTCTTTCACTCCGGACACTCACTGCGGATTTTTGTTTTTTGCGTCATCTTTTCTTCCTTTTCCTCAGAGAACACCGCCTCAGATAAAGAGCTCCTATCCGTGTGTGTGTGTCCCTTTTCTCAGACTTCAGAGCAACAGCCTCCGCCGGCGCATCAGTGAGGTAAGAGATGCGACTGTCAGCACACAGCGTTATAATACACGCACGGACCTGCCTGCTCACCTGAACAGAGATTTAAACACAGTGCGTTTCTTTAAGGGTAAAGTGATAATATTCACAGAGCTTTGTCAGATTATTTCAGGTGTTCACCATCAGCAGGGGCGGTCTTGGCCCAAAAACTGTGGTGGGCTTTCTCACAAAAAGCCCCCTTGATGTGTTCAAATAGCCTTGTATGGTGTTATCTCTCCATCTCACAATTTTATATTGTGTTAATTATCCATCCATCCATCCATCCATCCATCCATCCATCCATTATCTTTACCTGCTTTTTCCTTTTTGGGTCGTGGGGTATCACTGATGCCCAGTAGTCACTGAGACAAAGATGGGATTTCAACTGGCAACCTTCTTGCTGAGAGGCAACAGTTCTACCAACTGAGCCACATGTGTTAATTATTTACAGCAACTTACATAATCATTTATTTTAGTCGGCGCTTCCAGAAACGATTGAATTGACGGAAAATCTTGGGGTGGTCCACAAAAACCAAAAGCCAGAACAGCAATTTTAAAATCCATGACATCATTGTAAAAGAGATTAATAATTTTAATGGATTTCTTCCTGGTAAAATAAAGATTTAATAATAATATTAATAACAACAACAACATTAATAATAATAATAATTTCAGGAGATTTATTTTGTTGTCATATAGAGGTTATTTCATGAACATGGAGTGAGGGACTCACCTTCTGATATACACAGGTGTGCTTTAGAAATTACTTACAGAGAAAAGCTCTGCCACTACACAACTTATCAAAGTATTTTCTCTCCTAAATTGGTATTTAATACAGATATCATGCATGTAACATCCGGAGACCCAGCATTCTAACGTTGAAAACATTTGTTTTAAACCAGTTCTTCTTATTCAGGGTGTCTCGCTTTCCCGTAGCGAGGCAGTCACTGGCGGAATGACAGGACCTTGCACGCAGCCTCTACATTTTATTTTTTATTTGGAATAAAAAGCTTTTCTTTTTACTCCTAATTTCTCAAAAGCTATGATTTTTGTTGTTGTTTTTGTTTGATGAGGTTCTATCGGGATAGACAGCAGAAATGAAAAATGCACACCAAGCAAAAACTAGGGACTTAAAAAGATAAAGTGTCTGTGCTGGGGGAGACCGACGGTTTTAAGGGGTGGGGCCAAGTCCCAGTGGCCCTCCCCTGGTAGCACACCTGGCTGAGGGTGTTTCAATACATATTTTTCCATCAATATTTTTGTTAATCTTCACGTAGAAGAAGAAACACGTCAAAGTATCTTCCTGTCCTCTTTTACCCAGTTTGTCTCTTATTGCTGTAAGACTTAATGTATTCTGTCAAATGGAAGTCTAGAGTGTGCACATCTGGACTCTCATGGACTTCTATTGGTTCGGAGCGCAAAATTTTCCCACTAAAACTGAGAATCTGTCCATCTGTCCCTCTGTCTGTCCGTCTGTCCATCCATCCATTACTTTTATCTTTTACCCGCTTGTTCCTTTTTGCGTCGTGGGGGTCACTGGTGTTCATATCCATGTATCACTGTGCAAGAGGTGGGGGACACCCTGGACAGGTCTCCAGTCCATCACAGGGACACATAGAGACAAACAAGACAAACAACTATTCACTGTCTCACTCACACCTAGAGACAATTTAGAGTTACCAATCAGTCTAACATGCATGTTTTGGTTTGTGAAAGGAAACTGGAGTGCCTGGAGAAAACCCACCCAGAACATGCAAACTCCACGCAGAAATGTCCCCAGACCAGGATTTGAACCAGGATAATCTGCTCTGCTAAGAGGCAGCAGCTCTACCAACTGAGCTACCGTGCCGCCTAGACTGAAAGATCTTTTATTAAATCCTCTAAAGTCTGTCAGACAAAACGAGGAGTGCACTGGGTTCTCACTGAAGACCTCACTAAACCCTGTGGGCTTTGTGAAATAGCTTTGGCAGCCAGAGTGGGATCATCAGAAAGGGTGAAAGGAGCCTTAATGTTGTTTAATTTCACCGTTTGATTCATGAACCAGGCAGGCCACCGACCGTCATAAAGATGGCCGTTCTGGACTTCTTCAGAAACTACAAACTGCCTTTTTGCCCGCCTGCTGGAGTTCACTGCTGTCCGCCTCCGGCCCTCTAACACACAGGCGCCAAGCCAGTGGGCCATATGGAACCACCAATATTACATAAAACTTACATTTATCTTCTGCTCCTCCTCTTCCTCTACCTCCGTGTTTTTGTTTTTTTTTTCCTATTCTTGTTAGACCTATAAAGAACGGTTGATCTTTCAGAATTGGGAAAAATGTGTTTGTTCAAACTTTAATCTTTGTTTTCTTGATTAGTTTCTCATGTCCACTTGTGTGTTGTGATATTGGTAATATTTTTGCTATATTTTAGCTTTTGCGGGCAGCACGGTGGCGCAACTGGTAGAGCTGCTGCCTCTCAGCGAGCAGGTCCCTGGTTCAAACCCCGGTCCAGGGGCCTTCTGGGTGGAGTTTGCATGTTCTCTCCGTGCATGTGTGGGTTTTCTCCGGGTACTCCAGTTTCCTCCCACAGACCAAAAACATGCATGTTAGGCTGATTGGTGACTCTAAATTGTCCCTAGGTGTGAGTGAGAGCGTGAATGTTTGTTTGTCTCGTTTGTCTCTATGTGGCCCTGTGATGGACTTGCGACCCGTTCAGGGTGTACCCCGCCCCTCGCACAGTGATTGCTGGACATGGGCACCAGCGACCCCCGTGACCCAAAATGGAATAAGCGGGTAAAGATAATGGATGGATGGATTTAGCTTTTGCATCTGCTCAATGTCATTTTTCATCTCAGTGAGAATCCTTCATGTCTTCTAGTTACTTTTACATCTGCTTGTGCTGTTCTGGGTCTCACCATCATGGTTTCACCATCATGGTTTCACCATCATCCACAGTTTTAGTGCTTGTTCAGTCCTTGGCTGTGGGTGCTCAAGGCCTGTGGGGAGATGTGTGGTTTGTGATGTCTTTGTTTCATTTTATTTTTTTTAGATTGTTTCATGTTGTGTGGCTGGTTTCTGCCTTTTCTCCATTTTGCATTTTGTAGAATTATCTTTTATCCACATGTAGCATTTTTAAAATCCTTTTATGGTTGTTTTGCACAAGTTTTTAATGTTTTGTGTACGGTTGTTTTTTGATTTGGCTTAAAGGTTGTATCTATTTTTTACCACCATTAAACCATCCTCATTATATCAGTATATGGTATTAATATCATAGTATTACCATCTGCCCACAAAGGATTGCAATGTTGTCTTTTTATTCCATGCAATTTATTCTGAGTGGTTGTAACAAACTAACCTTAGATTAAAGATACATTCAGTACTTAGTTCTGTGATCTAATCACAACACTGTGATATAAACAAGAAGATATATAACATATATATAACATTTATGTGGATGATGAAGCCTATTCCCAGCAGTCTTTGTGAGAGAGACAGGATGCTCCCTGGACAGGTGATCAGTATATCACAGGGTCACTTGGAGATGATTGAGACAGATAGACTTTCACGCTCTCATTCACACTTATTAACAATTTAAAAACCACAGATTAATCTTAACTTGCATATTTTTGGACTGTGGGAGGAAAATGTAATAATGAAATCAATGTCATTGCTGTTTTTAGATATCTTGATATATGGTCTAATGGTATTACCGCCCAACCTTACTTTGGTTGTTTTTAGTCATTGTGGATTTCAAATATGTCTGATCTGACTCTTAAAGGTCTCCTTCTCCATCTCCTACTGCTTATCTGTGGTTTGGACAGAGGCAATCAGCGTTGGTGGGAAACCTAGACATTCATCTACCTAGCAACACTCCCCAGGGAACCCCAAGGCACGCCCAGGCCAGAGAGGCTATAAAATCCCTTCAGCGAGTATTTTTTATCTTTCAACCTGTATTGATGCAGGTTAGTCCCACTGAGCCTCGGGGACTCATTTACAAGAGAGACCTGATTTTAACAAAGACTGATGACAACAGTAGATAATCATAAAAAGCATATAAACTGAGAAGAACAAGTGAAAGAAAATGGTATTAAAAAACTAAACAAAAACAGCTAGGTTGTAAAGTGATGTAGAAAACTAAAAACAGGAACAGGTCTGCGTTGGTTTTTGCCAGGAACTTAGCAGATGTTTGAAGCCGCTTAGAGAGGTCAAGGTCGAGAGCTTCAGATCTTTTATTATTTTATTTTATTTAGTATTGGCTCTGCTCCTGTTCCTCTTCTTAGGAGTCTTCCTAATCAGATGCTTGAACCACCTCAGTAGACTCCTTTCCATGCAAAGGAGCAGCGGCTCTACTCTGAGCTCCAATGGATGACGGAGTCCTTCACCAGGTTGAGCCTGGGCACCATATGAAGGAAGTTCATTTTGGCCTCTTGTATCTGAAATCTGAGTGTTGGAACGTACAGGTATATAGACCAGTAGATCAAGAGCTTTGCTTATCGACTCAACTCTTTCTTCACCATGACTGGCTGAAGCAACGCCCTCATTATAAGAAAAAGGCCCTGATCCGTTCATCTATCTCCCACTCCATCCTAACATCACTCGTGAACAAGATGCCCAGATAGTTAAACTCCTCTACCTGATGTGAGAGAGCCTCTTTCACTAAACAGTTCTGCAAAACAGTTGCAAAGACGTGTCTATCTTGAAGCTATGTCTGTTCAGTCATAGGGGAGTGGTGGCGCAGAGGTTAGAGAGGTGGGCTTGTGATCCGAAGATCGCCGGTTCACGCCCCGGCCCCGACAACATCAAAAATTGTGGGTGGGGTAGGTGAAATACCCACACTTGCCCCCACCCTCATTCGCCCCACTCTGGGCCCATGAGCAAGGCCCTTAACCCCCACCATGTGCTCCCTAAAAAAAAAAAAAACAGGTCTCTCTTGAAAATGAGTTCTCGTGGCTCAATGAGACTAACCTGGATAAATAAAGGCTAAATGAAAAAAAAAAAAAAAAAAAAAAATGTC